TGACTCCTGGCAGGAACACAGCCAATATCTAATGACCCTTTTAATCTGCTGCCAAGGCTGAGTACCTCAACAGTCAGTGCTACACACCTGGGTGTAATAATTGCAAGCATCATGAGAACGACAACACTTTCTGCTTTCATGAACTGACTTCAAGCCTGAAAGGGATGTTAGTAGAATCAATAACACAGATAACTTATAGCTGATTTGTTGTAGTAATAATAATAATCTGGGCAACCCAATAATGCAAAAATCTGATACTACAGATTAATGATCTCTAATAAATTATGAATAATGTTCTGCAGAAAACTCAATTATGGACCTCCTAGACCACGAGCACTCAGCATTTCAGTGCATTTGGACTTTATGGTCTGCAGCATCTCTTAAGTAATCCTGATTTAGTTGTCTCTTGATTTCCAATTACCATTCTTCCTCAGAGATGGTAGCGGAGTCATAGTGGTGTACCTTAGAGCTTTGTCTTTCAGATAACTAGCACCACTGCAGTACTTTGATCTACAGGTCTTCAAGAAGGACAGGAAGAGAGAACAAAGTTGGAAGGGGGGAATTGCACTCTATGTTCAGACACATGGCACCCTCCTTTAGATGAGGCAATGAGCTAGACAAGAGTTTACAGGGAAGATCAGAGGAGAGACCAGCAGGCACATCTACTACAGAACACTTGGCAGAGATAAGACAGCAGACAATCCTTTATAAACAGTCACTGGTTCTCACAAAATTCTTTAACCAACCCTGATGTATGCTGGAAAGGCAACTTGCAACACTGCAAACAATTCACAAGGTTTATGGAGTTTTTTGGGGTCCTTTTTTTTGATGCAGATGCTAGTCTGGCCAGATAGGCAAAATGCTTTCCTGAATCTGCATCTCATAAATAAAGTCAGGGCTATGAGAGCATGTGGCTGCATTGGCTGCAACAGCCTTGAGATGGTGGTTAAAGATTCTAGGAAAAGTGAAAAAGGCAAATAGCAGAATATAGGCATTAGATTTCAGGAGAGGAGATTTCAACCTGCTCAAGAGCCACCTTTCACTCCTCATGGCTACCCTTCCTCTCCCCTCATGATCTTTCCTCATGGCTGCCCTTCCTCTCTCCTCACAATCTTCCCTCATGGCTGCCCCGCCTCTCCCTTCAGGATCTCCCTTCATGAGTGCCCCTTCTCTCCCCTCATAACCGCTGCTCACTCCTCATGACCACTCTTCTCTTCCTCTCACTTACCTCTCCTCCCTCCAACTGACACCCCCAACATGCCCCCTGCCCTGTGCTTTGGATCTCTAATGGAAAAGATGGGGACACACTAGCTCCGATGATCTCCACCTATATGGGATAAGTTTAGACCAAAGTTCCTCTGATCCAAGCCCAGATTCACAGCTGAGCAGGGAAGTTGCTGTAGAATTGCCCCACATCAGGGATTTCAGGTAAGTCATCTTAAACATCTGCTCTGATGTGTGGTGCCCAAGAAGAAAAGCCTATGTTAGTGCTGCAGGACATGCACGTGGCTCCTCTGGAAAGAACGCCGCAAATTGAGAATCATAGAATCACAGAATAGTTAAGGTTGGAAAGGACCTTAAGATCATCTAGTTCCAACCCCCTGCCATGGGCAGGGAGAATGTTTACTTCAGATTTACTTTTTCTTTCTTAGTTGTTTGTTTTGTTGTTTTTTTCCTTGTGGTACATTATGTGCCATGGTACTCAGACAGCTTACGCAGTTAACAGCTAGGTAGGTGGTACACAAAGCTGCCTGAAATCCTGGAGTCAGACACCCGGCAGGCTTCCAGCTTCAGACATCTGAATTCTGACTGAAGTTCCTCACAAGCCTTTGCGTCTTCCCCTGCAGTCATTCATATGATGAAATCTTGACTGCAGTGGCTGAACATGGTGTGCTCAAAAGATGTTGAAGCAACCAAACCATTGTTTTCTGAGGTCTCCATAATGCCAGACTGGCTGCCAGCTTGTTAAATGAGCACTCTATTACATGGGCTTGTTAAAAATGGCATTAGAGAGCTGAAGTGTCATCAATGTAGAAAAAAAAAAAAATCAGCTAACTGAACCAGTAGCTTAATTTAGGAGCTTGTCAGATGTATGGTAATGGCCTTGTAAGGCTTGGTGAAAAGTGGTGATCATGTAGAAAATCAAGTAATCTGCAGAAAACTCGCATGTATGAGAAGGGATCTGTCCTGACTCAGTAAATAGGGAAAAAAAGGAAGTACCCAATGGAAAGTAAAAGCGGGATGGGCTACTCAGAAGGAACACAGAGCCATTACTCAAACACACAGTAATGGAGTTAGAAAAGCCAAGGCTAAGCTAGATTACAAGGTATGAAGGTGAATGGGCTCATAAGTACATCAACAGCAAAAGGAAGACTATTGAAAATGTTACTCTAGTGCTGAATGGGGCAGGGAATTAAATGACAAAGGGCATGAAAAAGGCTGAGAAAATCCCTTCCTTCTTTGCCTTGGTTTTTACTGGCAAGGGTCAGCTCTCAGGATTTCCATCTCTCGTTCAGTGGCAGTTTGGTGAAAGATATAGTAGTAGAGTAGGACGATCAAGTTGGGGCCCACTTAAATAAACTGAGCACAGATAGGGCAGGGCAGAACGTTTCTGTCAAGAAAGATGCCGAGGGATCTTTCCCTTGGCATCTGGCTGCTGCCACTGTAAGATTGCTATGTACAAACTATGAAAGGCAGCAGTCAGAAACAGCTCGCAATGGCTGGGAAAAGGCTAACATTAGCCCATATTCAAAAAGAACTATAGAGAGGCTCGAGAGCACTACCACCCAGTTTGTTTCATCCGAGTCCCCAGGAAGATTATGCAACAAAGTTTCCTGTAAGATGTTTTCAAACAACCAATACAAATTTTTTAGGGACCTGAACAAACAAATTGTTATGACAGTTCTTTTGAATAAGTACAGCACAATGGATGTTATTTGTTTTTTCTTTGGTAAATTTTGTAACATTTCTAGCTATGGAGACTGTGTAGCTCAATTGTAAATATACAGACTGGATGAATGGGCTACAAAGTGGTTAAAAAACCTGAGTGGAACATTAGATTTCAAAAGGAAGTAAGCAAAAGTCCAAAGCCCAGTTGTCAGCCAGTAGGTGTGATACAGGTGAGGTCAGGACAGGGCCCAATGTCATTAAGAATTTCCATGAACAATTGATTAAATACATTGAAATTAAATGTTGTTCAGACTCCAAACTGGGGTAAGGGCAGAGATGCTCAGTGGGACTTTAACAGGCTGAATAAACAGGCTGGCAAAACCCACATGAAGTCCAAACAGAACACCACCATGCAATGGCACCAGCCATGACCTGAGTAGCTAGAGAGCACCTCTGTAGAAGAGGATAGGAGGTCCTAATGAAACAGGAGCAAAGTCAGTGGTATAGCCTTGCAATAGATGCAAGCTAACTGCACTGGCAATTGTATAGCCAACAGACCATTCACAGTGATTATTAGCTCTCTACATAGCGTCATGACACCCCACCTGTAGTACTGCGTCCAGCTGTGGAGCCACTAGTGAAAGAGATCTTAAACTAGAGAGAAACCAGAAAGGAGGATGACTAAGACAGTTAAGGCAGCTGGAGGAAGCAGAGGGTGGGAGTTCTGGGTTGTTCAACCTGAAGTGAAGTTTAGGGGTATCTAATGGCTGTCTTCTGCTACCAAACAAGAGTGTTATTGAGAAGATGAAGCCCTAGGTACACTGCAAAAGTACAAAAGATAGATGCCTAGACACAGCAAGAGAAATTCCAGTTGGATGGGGAAAGGACAGGGAATTAACAGGCATTAACATGCTGCTCAGTTACATTGTAGAGTCTCCTTTCTTGGAGACTTTCATATACCAACTGCAGAACCTGAGTAACCTGTTCAAACTTTGCATCTGGCCCAGGCTTGAGCAGGATGTAGGACTAGGTAACCTCCAGAGATCTCTCCAACATGAATGATTCTGAAATGTCACAGTAGCCACTACAGTCTGTGTATCGTTTGGTTGGCTGGCATAACTATGTGAAAGGGAAATTTGATACTTTATTCTTGTCTGTTGCCGTGTTCTTGTACTCTCTGGGATTTTATAATGCATCTACAGAGGGACTTGAAAAATATGTTTTTAATAAATTAATAAAATTAATCTAAAATTTTCTTCAGTGTGAAAAAATTAAAACACAACAGAACACAGGAAATGTTATTTTTACTGTGAAAGAACTTTGGTACTGGACTTTCTACTGTGACTGAAGTTAAATCACCCAACATTTAGTTCAAGTTCCCTCTTTGCTTTACACCTGTGTAACAATATATCCCTGGAGTCACAGAGCTATTAGAAGAAAGAGCATATCAGTTACATAACTCCTGCTAGTGCTTGTATAACAGCTAACTTAAGTTGTTCATCATTCAATTGCCATTTGTGCCATGGGTATTTATTTGAGTATTGTTTTGGCAGTTGCATTTCTTAGACTGGGGTTCCATTACTGCTTCTAAATGAAAACAATGTTTGCACAGTAGATCTGTACTGTCATTTGAATGCTTTTTCTAAATATTCAGCAGCTACAGTTTTTTCTTATAGCTGTTACAAGAAGCAAAGCCCAAATTGCTGGGTTTAATAATGTAAATGAAATCACATCATTGAGATCCGCAACATCAAGATTCATCAAGACAAAGCCAAAAACTCAATACGACCATGTAGAAACCATAAAATCTTCTCAGTGTTTGTTACTTTACTCCCAAGGAAGAAAAGGCAATGATTTGTAAAGGACCTTGATGGAGATCTTATAAAACAAGCAGCAAAGTAAATTATAGAACGATTTGAGTTGGTAGGGACCTTAAATGTCACAACTAGTTCTAACCCCCCTGCCTTGGGCAGGGACACCTTCCACTAGACCAGGTTGCTCCATCCAACCTGGCCTTGAACACCTCCAGGGAGGGGGCAGTCACAACTGCTCTGGGAAACCTGTGCCAGTACCTCACCACCCTCGCAGCAAAGGACTTCCTCCTAATGTCTAATCTAAATCTACACTCTTCTAGTTTAAAACCATTATCCCAAAGCACCCTACTGGTCTTATATATGCTTATACAAAAAGAAATCCTCCTGAAAACAGTAGCATTTGAAAAATATATTGTTCCTGGAAAATCTAACAAAATACAGTTGAGTTAAATATGTTGTTGGTCAATAAATTATTTTTAGGTTGGAATATGGAAAATCTAAGGAATCAATTGAACCCATACCATACATCCTAATTTATCTCTTCAATTATTATGATTACCATAACACCCTCTAAGACACTGTAAAAGATTACCAGCTCAGGCAACCTCTCTGGCATTCCTCACAAGTAGAGCTCTTTCACCCGCAAATTTAACTGACCTTTTCCACTCCTCCTTTCACAAACTATGGGTACAAATGCTCTGTGTATTAGCAATACAATGCACTGAATGACAACTGGATTTTCCACTTGAAATATTAGAACAAAAAGTGATTATTGAAATTATGACCGACGTTAGAAGTCAGTAATACTGAACATTAATGTGAGACTTGTTCTCAAAGAGCAGAAATATGCTCCATAGACAAATGCCACATACACCCTCACCCTCCATTGGTCATGGCTAATAACCTGCCCATCATACCAGAGGACAAAAAGTGGCTGTATAATGGAGCAGCCAGTCACTAGAGCTTTCTCAGGAAGTTTCACACAGCAGTGCTAGACAGACTTGTGAGAAAGAGGACAAATATTTACTGTTACACTACAATAAGTTCTTGGACCTAAAGGACCCAATCCCAAATCCATTCAACAAACACATCTCCTGTTGACTTCAACAGGAGCTCAGCAGGGGGACAGCCTGTAGCCCAAATAGGAGAGCTAATCAGCAGAACAGTTATTTAAGTGATCATATTTAAATACTTTGCTGTAGTCTTCCTCTTTAGCCCTCATCACTAGGGAGTTCACAGACCATTTCTGCTGTTTCTCATTAATTACAGCACCAATCCATTTATCCATGAAACATTTGTAAACAGAGATGCCCTTTGGGATTAAAGGATTAGAATTCCAACTGCAGTGGATTTGATGGTTGCAAGTGAGTTAGGAGGAAGAAAGCAGAGAGAGAGAATCTTAAAATGGCAGAAATCCATGTTTTCTTTATTCACTTAAACTGAATTATTCCTATTACACAGCATGAAAAAAAATTTCATATGCTCAAATCTGACAATAAATAAAAAATTGTGGAGGAACTGCAAATAGAAACTAAACCAATGAAGACTGACAGGGCCTAGAGTCCTCATGTTAATAGAACAATTGCATGCAGCAGAGGTGGTTACATTAGCACAAGATAGGTTTTCTTCTCAAGTCTGCAAGGGATTTGAAGGTGTCTCACACTCAATTACGAACAGAATCAGAAAATATGTCATGTGCAAAGAATAATTTTATTAATCTTCCCAAAGGAAAGTTCTCTGATAGACTTCTAAAGACATTAATCTGAGCACTGAGAACAGGAACACACAATATTGATTGGCTAGGAGAAAAGCATTTTGTTTTCCCACACTACAAAAACAAATTATCATCCAAGCCTACCCATGCTTCAGCCACACTGTGTCAGGCTGGTTTATTTTCCTACCTCCAGACACCACCAGCCGGCAATGCAAAACTTCTTTGGATGGCCACTGTCGTTTTCCCATTGTTGTTCCCTGAGGTCCAGATAACTGTCTATTTTTGGAGGAGCAGACCTCCAAGAATTTAAGGTCTTTGCAAAGGGCAGCTGGTGATATGATGTACTTTTCTTATCCAAGACCTTTGTTCAAGCAACAAAGCATTTAAATACCTCTTGCCTCGTGTGTGCAGCTGTCTGTTGAAGAATCCCCGAATCTAAATAAAAAATGGAAGGGGAAAAAAGCATAATCATTAAATCAAAGGGTAACTAATACATTCTGTCCCTTTGTTATGTCAGTGTATTTTCCAGGTGATGGGTTGCTTTCAGCTAATATGCTATAAAGGCTATTCAAATGAAGGATTTACGCAATAGTGAGAAGAGGGAAAGATCACATTTCACACCACAATTTTTAAATATAAAGATTTATCATAGTCTTAAGTTTTAAATGATCAGTTGATCTTATAAGACACCATGCAAAGCAGCAGTTGAAAGCTAATGAAAATATTCATTACATAACCTATAACAATAAAGGTAAGACTTGCAAAAGTTATTAGTATTGTCAGCTTAGCACACAGAAGTCAAGAAAACGTCAAAGATAGCTTCACATGCAGAATGCAAAATGCAAAACATACCAGCAAACTGGATTCAGGAATTTGTTAGGGATGCACTAGGAATCTGATATTTTGGCTTAGCTGATTCTAAAAATGTCATTCATGCAGGTGTTACCAGCTACTAATGTGGAAATTACTGAAAAGAGAACACGCTGCAGAACAGCTCCCTCTGTCACCTCCCTCTCCCTCTCTTTTAGACCATGACTTTGGAAGGTCTGGTTGTCATCCTGCTTTTCCTCATCGCCTTATACAGGGTTATGTTCAAACTGGGGAAATCAGAAAGCACCTCTAAATTAAACAGTGTCTGAAATCTGTCAACAAATTGGTTCTCCTTTTCCAACCGAAATCTCATAGCCCACAGAATAACAGTGTCATTCTTGCACAAGTGATCAAAAGTTAGGAGGAGTTCATCCAGGAAGGGATGGTGGTAAACTACATCAGCAGCCATAATGTAGTCAAAGTGACAGGAAGACCTAGGAAAATTCTTTTCCAGATCAACTCCCCAAGACAATTCCTTAACATGAGGCTGGTGCTTGCATCTCATCTTTGTATTTCGGAGAACATTGTGCTGGAGGTTTCCAAGCAGTTCTGGCAAATCAGTGGCAGTCACAAGTGCACCTGTGACAGGGAGAAAACAAACTAACTTTGAGTATACTTCAAGACTTGAGTAAAAGATATGGTATAAATGAAAGCTATACGTGGACAAGGAACTGCCTTTAACACGTAGCTCTCCAAGGGGAACAGAACAATGCAAATAATCCAAATAGCTCTTAGACATTGTGCTTAAAATAAAGATTTGATTCCCAGTAGTTCTACTTTACAGATTGCCAGCTGAATGCAATTAGGAATGAATGGGGAGAAATCAGATACTAGATCTTGATATCATATTGGTTAAAAGTACAGTGAGCAACTAGGGATTGAAAAATGCCAGTTACCCACTCCAAGAAGTCAGCATGAAATTTAAGCACTATCTTCGGTTCCTTCTTTTTCACATGAAAATCAGCTTTCTCACACTACAGAAAGCTAAGAGTCTGTTAAAATGCAGAAGTCACTGAACTGGATCACTCTTGAGGAAAAATAGGCTACCATGAGAGAAAACACAACAGTGTTTGTAGCAGAAAAATTAAAGTGCTGATCAGCTGCTGAAAGAAAATGCTCAACACAAATGGAACGAAAACGACCTAGCAACCAAAGAACTGTTTGGACAATGGAAGGTGGTGCATTGCTCAAGCCTACATCTGGCTTCATCTGGTTGCCTCTTGAGAGGCCACAGGTTCTTATTTTGGTCCCTTGTTTAACACTGTTAATGACATCCTCATCTACTGGGACCCCCCCTTATTGCATCAATAGGGTTACTCAGAGATTTACAGACTGGTTTCCAAACAAGCCTTTTGGAACTTACTTTTTCTTGCTCTTGAAAGCTTTCAAACAAGTCTTTTAGAAAAAAATGACCCACTTCCTTTGCCATCCAGTATTCACCTGAGAGATGTTTCCAAGAGCATAAGAGCAATGGCATGTACTCACCCAGTAAACTGGCTACTATGGAGACCAACCCAGTTCCAGCTCCAATTTCAATCACATTTTTGTCAACCAAATTGTATTGCTTAGAATTAGTTTCCAAAAAATAACATAGAACAAGAGCCTGTAGGGGAGGGAATCCATGAACACACTGAACAAATTAATGAAATAAATCCCTTCACTAAATATGCATTGTCATTTAAAAGCATGCAAAAAAAATCTTGTCTGTTCAAATGAGCAATAACCATTCAAGCACTGTCGAGCTCTTTAGGCTCACGAAATAAGTGCCACAACATACCTCAGTATAGGCTTACAAAACATTACAGCCAGGAGGAACAACTGCAGTTAAATAGTCTGTCATGCTGCATAACATGAGCTATAAAATTTCTAATTTTTCTAATTTCTAATTAATGAGCTAAGTCACATGCTTCCCAAAGACATCTTGATATAAGGACTGTTTGTGAGAGGAAATCCACAACCCTTGTTAAACTCTTCCAACAGTTATTTCTAACAATAATTAAATACCTAATGATTCAAAAAGGACCAATAGATTTACCCCTTTTCTTCCAGTTCAGTTTGTTTTCAGTTTCTATGTGCTTTCTTTGTTAAGCTTAGCAAACTTTAAGAGCAAAGCCAAAGAACCCTCTACAACAGACTCCTCATATATGCATTTATAAACTGCCATTAAGAAGCTTCTTCACCTTTTCTGCCCTGTCTCATACTGACCAGTGAGTTTTAGTTCACTGCTGAAATAGAAGTTTCTAACTTTATTGCTCTTGCAAAGATAGATTCCAGCTTGTCTCCCAGTTTTTCCACAGACTGCAATAATTATATAGTCTCTATTGACAAATACATATGATGGTTGCCACAACCTCTTGCAATACAGATGATCATTTGGAAAGGCAATTACTAGTGGCTTGGTCTGGCACAACAAAATGACACACTTAGTTTTGTTTTTAACTAATTAAGATGTAGAAGGAAAGGAACAGGAGTACTATTGACCCAATGTTAACATGCTGGAAATGCAAACAAGTTTTTTGCTTTCTACCTCTTAATTCAGAGCAAAAAAAGAGTAGGGGTTTTTATGTGAACTTCCATATGTCTCACATTCAACAAAGCTTTGATATAGAAATATGTCTGTGAGAACCAGGACTAATTAAAGCCAGGTACCTAAAGATTGTGTCTGAGGCTTGGCTGACATTTAAAACCACATTATATTAAGATTTCCTGTTAGCTCCATCTATTCCTATAATTTCTTCCCTTGGAGTTTTGCCATATTCTGTTGCAGAAACTGTGGGCAGAGGATCAGTATTTCTGCGGGTTAAATTATGGAAACTTTGAAATCTGCCCTCCTTCCCATGAAACATGCAGAAACTTTATTTTCCTTGAAGTTTCTTTTCTCCCAATAAATTTCACTGATATTTTCTGGAAGGGCTCAAATACTGCTGGGTGGGACTAGAAGGCAGAACATGAAAAGACACAGAAGGAATGGTTGCCTTCCTTCCATAGCTAAACTGGCTGAACTCTTATAGGAAAGGCTTTCACTGGGGCTGCTAAAAGATACAGTATAAATGACTAGTCTAGGCCTGCTAAGACAAAGAAAATTCTGAAGTTCAAAACAGCAGAGAATGCTAAATGTCCTCAGCTGTACTATGGCCAAATTTCTTAAAGATCCTAGAAGGCTGATACCACTGGGACAGAAATGGAGCCCCCTGGGTTTTAGTTCTCTCCTTCCTATGGAGTATACTGGAGATAATTCTGTTTCAGGAATGTTCTCTGGATGCCACAAGTGTCAATGGTGCATCCTGGCACCTCCCTAAACATAGTGGCTTCTTTCATTCTTCATTATTTTGAAACAGGCAGTTGTATTGTACAGATCAAAACTCTGAAGAGGACTCTATGGTGGGCATGTTGATGGTTCTTATATCAATAGCTAAGGACAATGGTTCTCTCCCACTAGATTTCTGGCTGCTTAAGAAACTGAAAGCTCCAACTGAACCTTTTCCCATGTCTATGTATTTACAAGGTAAGTTTGTTTTCCATATGAGTACGTTGAGTACCTTCTATGAGTCCTAATACCTTATGAACTCATATCACAGCTGTTTCCCCAACCTGGTTCTGCCTGCTGTACAGCTGCCCTTTTTCCTTTAAAATGTGCTTCTAATTTGGATCAAATAGGATCAAAAGTTCCTCATAGGTGAGGAGATCATACAGCTTGTATGAGAGAGGCACAAACAAGAAATACCATTTAAGCTCTGAGAACCAGGAATCCATAGGAAACCAAGCTAAATTCAGGTTTGGGATTTGCAGAATGGAGACAGAGAAGCACGGAAGGTATTCCTTAGGTTTACAACATACAACAAAATGTATTCAGCAGGCAAAATAAATTAAAAATGCTAGAAGACTCCAAAATTATGAAATAACAATACTGCGTAAATATTGTACCGATGGCCAGACGACTGCCCCATAACAATCAATGGCTTCTGTAATTCTTATCTCATGGCCAGCAAAGTGAAAGCCTTCCCAGGCCTTATGAGTTATAACAGCAGGGAAAAAACGCCTTTTCATGATTTCTGCAACTATCTGTTCATCTTCTTTTTCCCCTGGAAGTAAAAGCATGAAAGGTCAAGCAGGCTGACTGGACTTGTAATGAAACTACCAATTTATAATGAAAACCTGATTTAGAGGCAAGAATGTGAATTACATCTGTGAATAAAAATACATTCATTAATGGTGAGCATCAAACATGGGAAGTCTGAATTCTAATTTATGTTTTCAGTTTATGACTAAATAGTTTCTTTCCTGTCCTGCTGAAGAAACAAAGTTCATTAAAAAGTAGAGAAATGAAACATTACCATATATTGCTTTCCATTTCAGCAATCCAAAGGAAATTTAACTTCTTTTTCCTTTCAAGAACAGCTGCCCTAGTACAGACACTCATAGTCTTATGTGCACAGATTTTTAATTATTTTACATATTCTTTTACTGTTCACTTTCTCCACATTGTGTTTCTTTCTGACAGTAAACAAAAGGAGCCACAGCATCATTTAGAAGTCTATCACAAGACTTGTGAAACAAATCCTAGCAACACAAGTTATGACAGATAGCAGCGAAAGAACTAGTGTTGTCAGGAAAGCTTATCCACCCACCCCAACAGAGCCCTGTCAGAGGAATTCTTTCCAGTTGGCTTGATATCCCAAATGCCATCCCTGTTGCTAAGCAAAGGATATTTATGAGAGCTAACACAACCCTGGATAACACAAAGCTGCAACACAATGTTAAAAGTAAATTGAAAACAAAAAGTGAAGCTGTCCAGAGCATTTTCTTAAACAAAGTCTAAAATCATTCCAAGTTTTCACAAGAAATTTGCTTTCACAGCCACCTGTGACACCTCTGGAAATCAGCTAGAGCAAAACATGTTTACCAGCTACACCTCCTAGAAAGCACGCTAGAGACACAGGTAACTGGGTTACCACCTCATCCAAAGCAGAATTTCTGTACCAAATCTGTAAGTTACCATCAAAATCACAGATCAGGATCTGCAAAGAAACTGCAGGTCCAATGTCTATTAAAAATCAAAACATTTATGTTCTCATCAATATAAACCACATTGGCCTCCTGAAGATTCTTCACATATTCTTTCCCCTCAAACCACTGCAGTCACAAAACATGATTGCCTCAAGTGTTATTTGCTCTTCCATATGCCTCAATACTTTCATAGCCATAGCCTATTCACAAAGTTTCTCTCCCTTCCTTGTTGTAGAAGGAGAAAGAAACAAAGCACAGACCACAACAGTATAATTTTATAAAGGTAACAACTAAATTAGTCAACACTGAAACTATGATATTGAGATGTTAGGAAATAAGTAGCATGTGACAGCCCATCACATATTCCGCAAGCCTCTAGTGCTGAGAGAAAACACATGCGTCATTGTGCCTGCAATCAGGGAACTCTGCACAAACATGAGTTAAGTGCCAGAGAAATGCTGCTCCAGGGCAAAATTAATCTTTTCAGATGGAAGAATTAATATGAAGCTATCTTATTACACATATTGTACGTGTATTTAATATATCATCCTGTTTCCAGGCATACCAGATACAGCCTGCTTTTAATCTTCTCTGATTGCTTAGAGCAGTCTGATCTTGTTCTATGATCAGCACTAGCTGTGGAAATAAAAAGCTGTTCCTTCTATTACCTCTCAATTACAACCATTTTTCTTGATTCTTCCTCCCTTGATATCTGCTTTGAACCCAATTTTGTTGAGAAACCATAACTTACAATGTCTTAACTTACAAAGCTTCTGCCAGCAGATCTATAAAACTTCAGCAGTATTACAGCTACCCCTCTAGTGTTCAATAAACATTTCCCACCTATTCCTTACCTTACCAGCATTCTTTCTACTTAACAGCTTGATTAGGACTCACGCTAAACAAGTCTGGGGGCCACTGCTCCCTACCTGAGCTAAACTGTCCACACCCATGAACTAAGAATCCCAAATCTGCTGATTAGTAATACCACTTAAATCTTTGGCTATCTTTTCCATTTGGGAATCCCCCAAGGGGGATATCTGGAGAATTTTACATTGATTTTTATATTTTTATCTTCCGCTTAATGAGATATTATTATTGTAGAGAATCAAAATAGTCTGTGATTCATCAGTGACATTATATGATAAGTACGCTTCAAAACCCTAATGAGAAATTGTATCAGGATCACGATGCTGATGCTTCTGACGAAAAGTGCTGATAACATGAGTGCAAACTTCTACTCAGATTTGCTTACTTACACACAAGTTTCTCTTCATACTGCAAAAGGCACTCCTCTATTTTCTGCTTTGTATCTTTCAGAATAACTGAACTATTTGTGAGACTGCACAAGAGGAAAGTTAAATTTTTTTCTGTAACTGCCTTCAGAGCAGTCAGAGCAGAAAAATAACAAACCAGTGGAACAAGAAAATTATGAGCAAGGAACAAGAAAATTATTAGCAGAGTAAGCAAAATCCAAGCAAGATTAAGTCTTTTAGAACCTGAAAACACTGAGAAAGTTCTGACAATACTTTGATCAAACTAGTTTCTTGGTAACAGATGTAAAAATCTGATAGGAAGCTATCTCACTAAAGTAGCATTTACCTGTGTTAGTCCATATTCTCTTGTTCAGGAAGAAAAAGTCTCAGAATTATGACTCAGTGAATGGATTTTAATGGAATTTTAAGACAAGAAGAGCTCACTCATCAGCAGAATAAGGTCAACAAGAAAAAGGAGGCTTGACTGACCTGGCTTTCAAGTCTTGTAAGAAGTGCATGATGGGCATTTCCAGCAATACTACTTGAACACCCATACTAAAATGTCACTCAAAGGTCTGCTAGGGCTTGTTCTTCCCTTTTTCATTTGCCTGGGTTTGACCAAGTAGGTCACATTTGCAGAGGCCTGAATTTAGAATTATTTTCTTCAGCCTATTCGTCTCTTTGCATGATACACCAAGACAAGCCTGATCCTGTTCAGATAACATACAGAACTTGAAATTATTTTTGTTAGTGAAATAGAGTGCTCCTTTGCTTTTGAACTCATGTTCACAAAGAAGTTCCTAGCTAAAATGCCCCAAATTCTTCTTGAAATCGAATGTGAATGTCTAAGCTTCTGAAGACTTTCTGCCTAATAGGTTAATTTCTTACAGCATTTTTAAAAATAAAGGTTGGACCATATTCATTGAACTCCCTTGATTTTAAGTTAATATCATATCTGAGGGAGAAGTCATATACTGCTCACACATCTTGCACTATATCAATCACATCATTAAGAAAAGAGTGTAATCGTTCTCAAAGGCAATGCAATCGTCGTTATTACAACTGAAACATGAACACAGCTTTTCAAAGAGACATACTAAATCATGTAGAAGACTGGAGTTACAAAGTCAGTGGCAGGTTAGTTAGAGAAATGTGTGTCAAGCTGCAAAATATCCTGTAGGGAAACAGAGGATTTTGCTGACACATTCAAATGTCAAATGAAGTGTTTCATATTAGAAAAAAACATAAAGAAAAGTATGTGAGTTCTGCTGAGACAGAGCTGGAGAAATCCTTCAAGTGGAGAAGAGAAGGCAGAAGGAAAATAGCAGGAGATAGACCAGGCCAGAATAGAACAAGTTGCAAAGTGCAGCACCTTTTTCTTTAATGAAGCAAATAACAGGAATGGGCCTTAGGTTATCTTTATCTGCACACTTTTTGCTTAGAGTGGTGAGAAATAGTTCTTGTTTGTTACACGATCAACTGTTCCCTTTACACATAAAAGTATGCTTGGGAGTGTACAGCTCCATCAGGAAACAGTAAACTTAACATTCAGTTGTGTATCTTCCATCAATTAATAGCATATGTTAATTCTCTCACTGCATAACTAATGATACTGCCTACATTAATGCATTCTCCACTGAAAAAAAAGGGAACAGAAACAGGACTGTTAAGCATCACTTTAAATGCAGGAAAAACAGCAAAGGGGGCTGAATTAAAATTACATTAAAAAAAATAAAATAGATACGATTGTCTAAATACCTGAATTAAAACGTGGTTAAAAACTGAAGCAAAATGACCTTTCTGTGTGAAAGCTGTGACGAATATACTAGCAGTCAATATCTCCATTTTCAGACTCAACCACAAATAGCACACAGTAACAAAACATTCACTAAGTACTTTGTAATGGATTAAAGAGCATTAATACACAAACAATAGTTTCAACTAGTAATTCATCAAAACAACCTACACAGGAAAAAATACAGATTAGTCTCTTTTAAGTCCTGGCCTGACTCTACTTAATCGCTTGAGGTCAAATCGTGTCCCAGCCCTACGCAATACGGAAACAAGACCCAACTGTCTTCTGCTTCTCACCTGCTTTAATGGATCTTCTCCAACTGGCAAAAGGAATGAAATCCAAGCGTGCAGCATGAGCTTGACCTGACAAAGTTCAGACAGCAACATTCTCCCTTCTTCAGAAACAGTATACTCTCACCTGCACAGTTTAGATTTTAAATTTATCATTTAAACTTACACTCGCAAGTATTTTAAGAACCATGTATCAACAAGTGTGAAGACGTACATGATTTCTCTAAGACTTCTCAGCAATTGGTTGAGTTTAATGAACATAGGAGGACTATCTGTGCGGACATTACTGAGTAGTGCATGAGAGAAAGTTCCAAGAATCATGATAGCTAGGACTCTTCAGATCTCCCCACTTAGGACACATGGAACTAGAATCATCCAAATAAAGATTTAAGATGTATTTTTATTTTTTTATATATATAGATACACACATAGAAATATATATAACACGCACTATGCATATTCTATATATTTCTATATAGATCTATTCAATAGTTACCTTTAAATCCCAGCATCAAGAAGATGTCTGCAGAAAGGTTATCAAGGGAATAGGTCTGCAACCAGTTCTGTAACTATAAGAGATGACTGGAGAAGAGTTACATTACTACATTGATAGGACTGTTCAGCAGGTAGCCCTGTGAATCCATCTGGGTATTTCTACTGGTTCAGAAGAAGTTTGCTCCATATCTACATTAGGTCCTGTTCTAAGGGACTCTGGAGACTCCTAATTTGTTCTGAGCTACTAACATCTCAGGAGCCATTACAGGTAGGCTCCATGGAAACATACACAATCCTAAATCAAAGAATAATCCCTAGATTCCACGTGGTATCACTTTAGTGTCTTTATTTCATTTCACTTATTTCTATTTCATTACATCCCATTACAGCTTAAGCACCCTTAAAGAAAGGAGTTAGGAAGGAAATCTAATCATGCCCTTGACTTTCCAGAAGTCAGATGTAACCTACACCATTCTGAGAATATAAAGCAAAGTAATGGAACAGTATTTATCTAAGCTATACAGTTAATTGTAGGTAGGGATGAAGTAAGGAAAAAGAGGGAAATGATCACATAACCGAGTGTAGGCATTCTAGTACATCCATTACAAGCGCAAAGTGCTGAAGTGATTGCAATGACAAGGTATATTACATCGACTGATCTAAGATACTACGTCAGGGTATATAACACCTGAAACTTTATACTTTGAAATGCAGAAATACAAAACTGCCACCCACAGGCAGCCCCTTCTTAGCCACGAGACAAGATGCACTTAGCTCAGAGCACGAGGGGACAGGAACAGGAGAGGGATATGCTCACAATAGCCAGTCTATGTATTTACTCAGGCTCGAGAGGCACATTTTCAATTTGAAATTCACACCACTGATATCCCAGCCCCATCCAAGTCACAGGTCATCCAAAACCACTAGAAGGCTGAAAATAGAAATACCCTAGTCAGATTATGTCATGAACACATAATGAAGTCAGATGTGCCAAGCACTTTCTTTGTTACTTCATCATGTTTGTCTGTCACTGAAAACATCTTCAGGTCTTGGCCGAGCAGCTATTTAATCTTTAAAGATAACAACTGAATGATTTCCCTTTGACTACAAAAGCAGGCTGTGTTCTTAAATTAGATGGTCTAATGTACATTATAAAAGTCCGACAGCCAATTTCCTGATGGATAGGAAGACCCTGGGTGAGTAATTCAGACACTGTAAGCCATTGTCTAGTCTAATCTTTCACATCTCTTACCTTGCCCTGTCAAGAGAGCTTCATGCCATTGAAAGCTCTTACTTCCTCATATCAACATGCCAGAACGTGCTAGATACCATAGCCAGCAGAACAGAAGGGACTCCACAAAATGCCTGCCAATGTTCCCCTGCTACTACTACCTAAAATATTTCTTTGAGGAAAGGGCCTGAAAGTAACCTTGAAACACCAATCATGCCACCTTTCTTGTGTGGCAGTTGAGAAGCACTTGATTTATTGTTGAAATGCAGCTACTGCAAAGAGAAACGTGAAAACAGGGAAGACAAGCACATGGCTGAGAGGGAAGAATGTTACAGACTTCTCTACAGAGTTAACATGTTTTGATTATTTGAGTGGTGCCTCTAACTTGTGTTTTATCTATACACAAGAATTTTCCATTTGAGTTTAGTAATGTCTTCAGCAAAAGCAGGTCTACTTGTTTGGGGGGAAAGAAAAGGAGCTGAGACATGTTAATTCAAATTAGTACACCTGACGGTTACTATAGTACTTGAAGGCTGCCACTTTCAAACAAAAGAGCTGAAAAGTAAGTTACTATGAGATAGCCGGGAGGCAAATTCAGAGAAGAGATATTTTTAGACTATTCTGATTTGCTGTGAAGGTGCAGTTTAGCTCTAGTCACTCCTTAATTAGGTTATACTCAAGTCTTATACCACACTACCTCTTTTAGCCTTTTTTTGACTTGTTTTGTTTGGAGACAGTTTGTTGCCCAGGAGGAACAGCATTTGATTTCTGATACTGTAGGTCAACCTTGCAGTGGAAAAAAAAAAAATGTAGGTAGCTAATAATAATAATAGCTAATGGTGCAGTTTCCACAAGCTATAGGGCAGGGAGTTAATGCTTTTGAGATGAGAATCAATGGAAGAGGTTGTCTGGCTCTTTTGGTTTTGTTTGTAAGGGTTTTTGATTGTTTAAGAGAGAGGCATAATTCAAAGCTAAGAGACAAAAGAAGAGGAAGATGAAAGAAGGAAAGACAGGTGGTGAGAAGATGGCAAAAGTGTAATTTATATTTAGTATAAATAGGCTCATTTTTTAACCAGCAGAGCCCACTATGTAAAGAACGGTTCAGCAATTTAAGCACTCAGAAAATGGAGGAACTGAGTGCTGGACATTCCTCAGAAGGATTCACATCCACAGCTCACTCACCTGAAGGGCATGTTCCAACTGCCCTACAGAACCAGGTGCTTCCCCGGTCCTCCATTACTGTGTGAAGTAGGCTATCAGGAAAGCAGGATTGCAAGAATCATGCTAGAAGGCCAAGCAGCAAGCAAAACCCCAGCTATGAGTTGCACACTGAGAAGAGGTAGATTTAGGCTCCACACTCTGACCCTAGAATGTTTTTCACGTTTTACAACAAAATCTTTGAAGTAAATGGAACAGCGTCAGGGAGGAAGGGAGTGAGAAAGATAAGTATCTTTAAAAGTAACCCAGGAAATAGGAAAGAGACACTAAGTTACTCCCTCTTCCCATTTTAACTTCTAAGACAGACTTACACTGCTTCTCACTTGCCTCCATTCCAACTACATCCCATTTAAGGCACCTTTCTGGACTCCACCCAGAGACTTGAAATGATGGCACTAGTTGCCATCGGTTGAGACATCTGTCAAGCAGGGTGAGTAGAAGGAGTATGTCCCTTCTAGAATGCCAGGAGATATGTGAAGGTTACCAGGTCAGCAATTTCTCAGATATTTATGGATTAAAAACTGAGCCCTGGCCAAGTGAAGGGAGACGATGGAGAGTCAAGGACAAGTACGCCTTGCAAACTTGCTCTCCTTTTGTCTCAGATAAAATTAGTCTAGGGTGAATCTATATAATACAACTATGGTAATTTAGTATTCCAAGAAATGAAAATGGGAGTGACAAAATGTGATCTCAGAAAAGTTTAGTCAAGGACGGTTAAAACTAATGATCAAGAGAAATCATGACAGGAAAGAAAAGAGACATCTAAGTATGCAGATGTGGTCGAGAATTAGTAGGATAAGGACACCAGAGGAAAGATCAGACAGTCTGAGGATCTACCTGCAAGCTGAGAAGCAGTAGTAATGGGAATTGTGAACAAGAATAAGGAGTTTTAACCTGGAGAGCTTGTGACAAGACAATTGAGAAGGGGAAGGCATATAAAGGAATAGAAAGAACTCAGACTGGAACTAGCAGAGAAACCAAACTAGAATAAGAACCCCTAGAAACAGAGACTGAGACCACCTAGGTGAAGATTAATGAAATCAGTTAGTTTTCCATTAGCGAAATAAGAATGGGAAGGTGGTAGAAGGAAAGGATGAGAATAAGGAAGGAACAGGCTTAGGGTGATATCAAGCAGATAAGTCTTTGTGTAGCAGGTTCAGCACCCTTCACCTCCAGAACCTGTTATACAATTTACTATGCCGAAGTCTGGTATCAGATGAAACTTTAAAGTGATCTCATTCTCCATGTCTCCTCATCCTCTTAAACTAGTGTTTCTAGACACTGTCTAGAGGAGAGACACCTGCTACCACTATCAACACAGTTACTCTGTTAGTTAAGAGGAAACGTATTTCTGCAATTGCTCTGAAGATTCTGCCCTATCAACTTATTTTTCATACATTGACCTAATGTCCCAAAAGTCAATTTATTTTCATAATTCAAAAGCTAAAGGAATTACATGCAGACTCGCTTCTCCCTGCCCTAAATCTTGCATGAAGGGGAGTATCAATATTAGATAATCAAGCTTACAGAAGCATAGAAATGCCTGTGCAACTTTACCTCAGCCCTCATGTACTACGGAATACCTAATGACAGTCATCAATATTTTAGTTTTAGTAATTCTACCTATAATACGTATTCTTCTAGATCTTTCTTCCCTCAACAATCATACTGCATTGCATAGCTTTTGTTGCATAGCTCTTCGTCTAAGTGAGAATTATGGAATAGGAAAGGGAATTGCATCAAAGAAAATGTCCAGATTCTGGCACTTGAACAGTACTTTGTGGAACAGCAATCTCCACCAGTCCTTACCAGCCATCTTCTTGTGCAATATCAGCTTTCTGAAGAGGGCCATCAATTTGGGGTACCACCTTGCCACACTGAACAGATAACAAACCAAAACTGGACACTGAACCCAAAAGTCTGGCTTTATGTGGACTATGACTCAGCTGAGATTTTGAACAAAAACATTATGAAAAATAATAAAAAGCTTTTATTTTTTCCACACTCATCTGTAGAACATAACTAGACTCCATCCTGAAACAACACACACACTTGCCCTAAAACCTTGTCTACTTCTGGTGACCCCTAAAAAGCCGATTACTCATGATGCTTTAGGATATGGAAAGACACGCAGCCATGAACTTGCTTATGAGAAAAAGCTACCAACAGCCTCCTTATGAGAAAAAGCTGCCAAATACCCCCTAAAGGTATTTGAAGGTTAGGTTTAAGGCTGGCTGTACAGAAATCAGGTTTGTAATAACCAGTTCTCCCTAACTGATAGGCTGCAAACAAACCTCTTCTGAATAGCTTGATCATAGACATGGCTTCATGCCCTGGAACCAGTCACAGGCAAATAGCTAGAGGACAGATGCCAGGCACTGGAAGAAAATTGCTGGGACCACAGTATGCACATGAAGCAAGTATTTATGGCATAGCCAGAATACTACAACAGCACTGTCTGTTGTATTTTCTGTACAAGTGCCATAAGCACAATTCTTCAAGTAAAAAAAAAACAACAAACCTAATTAGAAGATAGCTCATTGCTAGCAAGACACCTTACTCATTATACTTAAAAATATTCATAAGTACAAAGATAAAACAGTGAAATAAGAACCATTACCTTCTTGTCTTTCTTTTATCAGTTCATTCTGTAGATTATGTTGTGATAATGTCAAATCCATGCTATGCCACAAAACCTGGGACAAAGAAACACAAGCCTGACTAAATAAAATAACTATTTCTTCTTTCCCACATAAAGTTTCACAAATATATATATATGTATATATATGTTTTACACATATTGTGCTATAATTTACTTCTATTGGCAATATTGACATGTAGACAGATAAACATCAATATTCAAAGCATGAAAGAACCAGAGCAGCAAATTAGTTGAACTGCTGTACTCTGAAAGAGGGGTGAAAGCGAGTAGATTTAAAATAAATAAATAAAAGAACTTTGATAAACTTTAAAAATTTTTAGAAAATCTTAAAACTAGAAAAAAAAAACAAAATCAGGGTCAGTAGTTTTACAAACATTTAAAAGGAAAGGTAGGAACAAATCTGTGAAAGAGAAAAATTGCACCAAAAAGATCTCATCTTGTTTGAAAAAATCGGCTTGGAAGGGGAGGAAAAAACCTGTTAGTAAAATGGCATACGAGAGTAAGTAGGAAGCAGGATCTATAGACAACATGCAGAACAGAATGTGTATGCACCTATATAAACAAACACAGAACACGCAGACCTGGGGGGCGGAGGGGGGCAGGGAGGCAATAAGAAAAGTATGACAGAGGACAATACAATTTTCAGCTGCCTGCAGAAAGGCAGACAGATAACCAGCAGCTTCCAGTTCTTGATATCCTGATATTTTACAATTAGGCAAACACTGAGTTCATGGGGGGAGAGGAGGAGGGAGAGAGCAGAGGAGAATGGAAGAAAAATTAAAAAGGAAAATAAATCAAGAAATCAATACTTGATAATTTTTAAAGCTCTTGAACTGTTTACATGGAAATTTGACTGATTTATGCAGGAATGGTCACTAGATAAGTCAATGAGTGAATGAACACAATCAAAGTAAAACCATACACAGAATATAGAGAAAACTTCCCCACAGTGCAGTCTTAAGACAGGTTTTACCTCTCAAAACTTCAGACAAAAGAGAACAGTATAGAACAGCCCTGTCTTGTTAGGAGGACGCACTGTATTCTCTAGATTTCACCCTACAAGGGACACACAGGTTTAACATTTCAACTTTACTGCCACAGTGCCAGCAGCCATTAACCTATTTGAAGGTGAAAAATAACTTAGGAGGCTTCTATACACTACCATAACAGAAAAATACTGTTATATTTATGTCTATCTATGAATTTAGCAATCGTAACATCATTACATGTGAAACAGAAAAGGGATTCAATGGTTTTGTATGCATGTTCAGAATAACATGCAGCATTAGAAACTACTGGAACATTAAGTAGCAAACGTTACACACATCCATCAGCTTGTCATCTACCTCAGAAATATAAGAAGACACATTTTCCCTCCATTGGGGATAAAAATAACAGTCAGTTATTTATATATATTTATATAATATATATCAGTCCCTTTGCATTCTGAAGGACAAGCAACATTGCAGCATAAAGCCATACTAAAATATTATGTTTTGTGGTCCTCTTATTTTTTCTTCCTTCTAAAAATATACTTTAAGGTACACCGAACTACACAAAAACCTGTCTAACGTACAAATTCAGCAGTACTACAAGCAACTAAACAGTTGCTGAGTAACACTGTTTAAAGGCAAGGATACAAAGCCATTTAGAGTCAAAGAAACAGACACATGAAATAACCACAGGCAACTGCTGGGTTTCAGTCAACATTACCTGCTTCTCTCGCAGCTTTACAAAGACAGTAGGACAACAGAGAAGTTCTTATCTGCTGGGCTGCTCTCCCCGCAGCCGCGGGCAGGAGTGTGCTCTGAAACGCGTGTCACGCATTGCCAACATCCCCACAGCAGAAGCAATAATAAAACCCGACAGCTGCGGTACGATCACAAAGTGGGCACCACACACTGTGTCCCTTACGTAAGGGAGCAGATTTTGTAACAGCAGCGGGCACCCAGTTAAGGGAGCACCTACCAACAAAGGAACCAACTCCAGAGTAGCTTACAAATGTAAGGTAGCAGCATGGTATTAGCAACCACTCACTGTCAATGCAAAAGTAACTGAAGAGCAAAAGGGTCACTCTTCAGATTCAAAGGGCCCATGGCAGGAAGGTTGGAACTGGATGATCTTTAAGGTACCTTCCAGCCCAATCCATTCTAGGATTCCAAGCACAGAGGGCAACTTGCAAAGGAGCAAGGGTGCATTTGGGGCAGGGATATATAAATTTGTGCTCACATTGGAACACAGAACTGTAACAAGGTACAACCCCCTCCCCCTCAAAAGTCCTAGCACACTTCACCTCCTAAGGCAGCTGTTACTGTGAATAAACATACACATAAATCTCATCCTTAGCACAGACAAGATATAGTCACTCAACAGACCACAACCCATTCCTGCCACAGGAAAATACTGTATCTTTAAGAGTTCTCTTAATTGGGCTGTAATAAATTTAGGACAGAGCTGTTAGCAAAGTCATACTTCAACCTCAGTTGGTGTTTCTAGGTGCCACTGAAAAATAATAAACCATTGTACAAAAATACATCAGAAGACTGAAAATCTCTATCATAGCTGGCAGAAGAAATTGATAATATCTCCTCTCCACTTAGAAACCACCAAACAAATCACCAAGACCTGACCTACGCTGCTGAAGCAAAATTCAGTTACATGACGTAAACTCCTCAGACTCAGAATTCGCTTAAAATGTATTTTCCAAAAGTAATATCAAAATTTCTGCCCAGTAAGCACTGTACATTAAGTATTAGACTCTCTGCTACTATGAAGGCCAAATCCTAGAGAGCTCAGTTCAGCACTTCATCCTTCAGTTTCCTTTATCATTAAGTTTCCTATGAAACTTAATTGTATGGACTTGGACTTTCAAACAATGAAACAATGAGAAATGAAGTCAGAACACCAAATGAGAAGATGGAAAACAGCAAGGACTAAATGGTAATGTAAGAACACAGGTATGACTACCAGTTTATGTGCTTTTCCACCTTAACACACAGGAGCTACAAAAAAAATTCTACAATCACTGAGGAAGAGAGGTGGGTAGATGGGGAAGTCTGAGCCTAACACACATTGTTTCTCTCACAAACTAATCTGACACGAGTTCTACAACAGTGGATACCTCTTAATGTCACTTTTGCAAATAGATTGTGTCTTTGGATATAGTCATGTAACTCCAAATCTAGAAACTTGACGTTTACTTCAAAACATAAATAATCACTGTGCATCAGATTACAGACAGACAAACACATGACAAATAGAGATAATTTATTATTTTATCAAAAATTCATCACAATATTTACAAAGCTTAAAAGTCACAAAACCCACACATAGCCTCTCTTTTTCAAGACTTCTTTTCTTTAAGACGTTTTCTTTTTTATTCTTCTCTTACTCTGCGATTTCTTTTTTTTGCCCTCAAACACAGGTTTGGCAGTCACCAAGATTATTTTCCCCAATTCTTCATCCTCACCACTTGAACTACTGCACCTCTTTTTCTCTTTAGAGTCTGCTGACTCCATTGCAGAGACCTTTTTCCTCCTTTTGCTCTTGCCCAGATCTCTGCTTTCTGATTCCTCTATTGAGGAGTCACTAGAAGTTTCTGAAAGATGCAAATTCCCTATAAAACCACCTCCATAGACATGTTCTTTTCTGGAATCTGAATGTTTTCTTCTCTTTCCATTTTGGACTTCAGTTGCCATAACTTGATGATCTGTACAGCCTGCAGTACCTTCCCCTTTCCTTTCTTCATGCGCTTTAAGTTCAATCTCCTGAATATCATCAGCTGCTTCTTTTTCCTTCCTCTTCAGGCAAGTCACAGCTCTGCGCAGTCTCTGACTTTTAATAGCTATTTTTTCATGCTGTTCTAGCCTGAAGAATGAATCAATCCGAAGCTGAGTCTATCAAAAATAAAACAGAGAAACACCTTTGGAGGTTTTTGTGATAGGAATTCAGTTAACTATACTATAATGCATACCAAATTAAAGTAAGACAAAGGACTAACAAGATTAATATAATACAAATAGATGTGAACAATAAGGCACAATACTGCAGACATACCTATACTTTATTATAAGTTCTGCAACAAGAACCTTTACAGAAACTAAATAAACAGCAAACTCTGGTGAAATTTCATAAACACTGTCCTTGATGATTAGACATATGTTGCTATTTTCAACCTTAATACAGAGAATCTCTGTAGTGCTCTTATGTCCTTACCAACACATCATTAGCTTCAAGCTGTTAGAACTACAGAATGAGTATTAAGCAAATGTTACAAGTGCACTTTACATTTCATATGCTAGTGCAACAAAAAGCGCTTATTTGACTCAAGTTCATTGTAACATATGTTGATACAGTGTAAAGATTTAAGAGCAGAACTAGAAGTACTCATACACAAAGGAGCTGCGTGACTCAATCACAGCTAGGCTTGCTGTACAAACTAAGATAGCTCTCTATATTCTCCCTAAAATTGTATAAAAAAACCCCATGCTTCCAAAGGTTGCTCCAGTAAACCTGAAAGTAAATAGCTTTAACTATGGGGTTTGGTACCTTCCACTCCTTTGAGCAACAGAGAAAACCTAGAAGACTGGTTTAGGCTAAGGATCTATCTTGCTCATGGCAAAAGGAGAAAAGAATCTGACCTTTGGCGATGAATTTTAGAACTGACTTTCACAGTACAGCAGCATGCACCACTATTCACTTTTACATTTTATTAAAGTTGACAGAACATATATATGGAAATCAGAATAATATTAATGTTGCTCAGCAGTTCAGTCTGCACTCCTCCTCAAAGAATGTGGATGATACCAAATGATCAGTCTCCATTCACCAAAATCTTAGAGGTATTTTTATAGATCATTTTTAGAGACAGCATATTGTCTTAAAAGTACCAGAGGTGCCTGAAGTACTTGTCATTTCAACTACATCCACAACAAACAGCAACGTGGAGCTGAACAGGTGCTTGATTAAGTAACAAAATTTGAAAACAGCAATGGAAATTATGTAGAGTTCCTTAAAGGGCACCACAATCATACGGAAATGAAGTCCAGAGAAGTAAGTTTAATAAATTTTGAATATGAATTAAAAAAAAAAAAATGGCCAAACCCCAGTTTCTGAGAAATTCATTTTAGATTAAAACCTTGCTGTTCATTTTAAAACAGCTCTTACACTTTTCTAGTTACCCTTAAACTACACACAGTTCTATGTTTTACCTGCTGCAAGTTCAGCTGTTTCATCACAGGCAAAAGGATTTCATCTGTCTTCACTCTGGTCCAGCCAAAGCGATTCTGACAGAATGTGCAAAAAGTTAAGGAACTCTGCACAATGGCTATTACTAGTATTCTGCAAACATAAAATAAAAATTGTCTAGAAGAAAGCTACTCTTCTTCAAAGCTTTTTCTACTATGAAACCAGAGAAAATACTCTTAAGTTACTACAGCTGACTTATGCGGATGCTTCCAGTATTACATTACATGTCCTAATCATGCTGCTACATCTCTATTAGTTACAGATTTCTGTTCTCTAATATCAACATTTCCAAGAGTGTGTCTCAATGAGGGCAGAACTCATTTTGGCTATACAGCATTGCCATATGACAAAGCAAATCTTATTTTTACACTTGCACACACCGAAAGTTTCATTTGCTATTCAAAATACCATTAGCTCTGCAGGCATTGTCATGTACTTTTTATCAATTTGCTGCAGCTCAAGCCGCAATGGATGCAAGAAATGCACTGCAAGAAATACAGTAAGTAATGCAGCCTAAGTCACCATTTCTGCTGACTACACTTTGAAATATATTTGTGAAAGATGGCAGAGTAGCACACTCCTGACAGCTATGAGATTCTCTGTGAAACAGCCTACTCTCTTAGGAGGGAAGAGCCACCCTGCATGCCACACATGCATGGCTGCATGCCCTTCAGTTCCAGAGCTGGTACCATTGTAGGATATCATATGCAGATGGGGCTGAGGGCCCCTCATGCCAATGAGACATTAAAAACTAGACACACCATTACTGACTCACAAGCCTTATGAACTTTAATCTGAGCACTCTTCGCTGACAAGTCCTGCCATACAGTAAAAGGATATTCTCTGATTTGTTCTACATCAGGCTTCCCCCAGATGAATGAACCCCTTGTCTCATCCACCACAGGATTCAGGTATGCTTCTGCCACTGCTGGATTTGGGAAACCTGAGGAAAGCTGCAGGTCCCGCAACTTCTTCTTGACTTTGGTGTCACGTGGATTAGGTCTCAATTTCTTATTCTTCTGAGCCTCATTCCACCACTCACTGAAAAACAGAGGAAAGTATTCCATAAGGTATAATTTGGAATATCAAGAGCCACCATGCTAATTTCAATAGCCCTAGTCTCCCTACTTCAGTTACTACATAAAGTGAGTAGAAAATTTCCCAAATGGCCAAAAGGACATATAACCTGAAAGCAGAAAAGACAAAACATACACAGTAAACGCAGCTGTTGTAAGCCACAGTAGCAAACATCATCTGGATTCCCCATAAACTGCTAAACAGAAGACCTAAATTTAGCCACACACAGGGAGGATGTTCCACATACAATGATAATTTTTAAGGTTTTTTTTTTATGCAAAAGAAGAAAATAAAAACCAAAAATATTTCTAATCATTCTCGCCATTGCCAACACAACTGGCTTAGATCCTCTACAAATCTTGTTCTTCCCCACAGCCTACCTGTCTGTCTCTTTCCAGGTCATCCACTCCTCACTCATCAAGTCTCTTTTCTCTATGAGCAAGCTACAGCACCTTCTCACAAACACAGGGAGAATAAACCTCCACTCCACTATGGATCCAACTCCGCAACGAATTCAGAGGCAGTCGCACAGTTCTACAGCTGTTCTACTGTCTTCTTTAGTCTCACTGTAATAGCTGTATCAGTATGTCACCTTATTTACCTGCCATTTCAAATAGTGACATAACGGAGTCACATATTTTACACTTAACTTAGTCTCCTTAATGATAGTTGTATGCTTAAGCAGCAGAAAAGTATATTCACTATTATAGAAAGATAAAAAAGCAAAATATGATGAAGCATACGCAAATCTCAAGAGAGGTTCCAAACCACGCCCAGGAAATTCATTTAAAATCTCCATCGCTGTTACAAAGCCAACATTTGGGATACCCTCAGTGTAGTCACTTCCAAGCAAGTATGCCAAATTAATTAGCTTGCTTCGATCCAAACCTGTAAAAGTGCATAAACCAATTAAAACCAGTGGATCCAGCATACATTCCCTTACAAATTAAAAAATATGTTACCTGAAAGGCAAAACCCAAAAGGAACTCAAATACATTAACTCTGTAAAAAGTACATTTAAGTCAATGTCAGGATTTGCTAAATTGTATTCTGGAGCACATTAGCTCAAGCACCGGTAGTTGTGCTAACTCAACAAATACATCTTTGCCAAAATTAAATGTTACAATGTAGAGACCATCTGGAAACATTAAGAGCTAAGAGATACTATTTTACATATGTATCTCCAGTTTCTCTCCTGTTCCCATTTAATGCTGATCTGCAATCA